CCAAAAATTATTTGTAAAAGATAAATACTAACTGTTTATTTTGATTACAGTTTTGATTCAGTTGAACTGTTCCAGCTGTTTAATATTTAAGTGAAGAAAATTGCAGAAGCAGGTACAAATATTTCATTCTAATGCACTATTTTAAAATTTCTTTGACTTTGTCTAAAGACATTTGATAATGTTAACACAGGTTAACATAAAATTCTTCTCTTACAGGAGCAAATTCTAACTAAAAATCTAGCTAAAACTAAAAATAAAGTTTGTCTTCTCAAATATAAAGGAAGCAGAGGAAGTTTGGGGCAAGAGCTAATCTGAAATCATAGAAGAAATAGAGGCAAGAAGTTGTGAAAGGCAATCAATAAGTGCAGAGTGAAATTGGAATATTTTAAAATATTACAATTTTTTGACAACTTTCAGGACTTTTGGGATAATTTGTAGATAGTTTGTGACAATGCATCATCATCATCATCATCAGTGGCATCACATCTTTCTTCAGAACAATCTTCCATTCATCCCTGTGTCTGCCAACTCTTCTCCATGTTCTAATTCCAATAGATTTTAAATTATCCTCTAGGTTGTCTTGGTGCCTAAGTCTTGGTCTTCCTGTAGCTCATTGTCACATCAGCCCTCTTTTGTCAAAAATCTTTCTAATCAAAAGACTGATATTTTTTGTACACACTTATGACAAGTCGAAAGAAAATGTAAAAAAGTATTTTTGAAGTGTGTATATTTTAGGCAATTCCTGGCTGAGCGCTTTCGGCTTTACAAAGCCATCATCAGAGCTATAGTCAATTTTTTAAATACCACTACAAAGGAGAGATCTCATTTCCTTATATTTCAGAATTATGATTTTTTTTAGTTGTTGAAATTCTTAAAACATATAAAAAACATATAAAAAGCCGACACTGGACTTCACAAACACGTTAAAAAAATTGAAAAAAAATTTTTTGTCATGGTACGGGTGTAAGAACCCGACCATTGATTGATGTGAGGAGGTAGACAGAATAGAACTTTCTGTACCAAGCGATAGGTAACAGAGAAGAGAGAACGACTGTCCTTAGCGGCAGCCGACAATCAAGAGAGAGACTTTCTTCTTTGCTATTTTAAAACTGTCTATATTTGTAATGGAGTGGGGCTAAAATCTAAGTAGGAAGGGTTGAAGGGTGGGAAATAATTGTAAAATTGTGGTAGAATGGTAGTTAGTAATACAGCGAAAAATGACATAATTTTTCGCATGTGAAAAAATTGAACACTTGTATACAACTTAAAGTTTTATTATCTGTGTTACAAACCTTGGTCTTTGTAGTAGTATCTTCTAGGTTTATTTGTAGTTTATTTAAGGTGTATTTATAGGTTTACTTTGTAGTATATTTTAGGTTTGTTTTAGTTTTAAAATTTGTAATTGATTGTAACATACATGATCTATTCTTATTATATTTTATTATTTTTATTTTTTAAACAATTTTATAACACAAAATGTGTATATATATATAATATTTCTACGGGTTTTGAAAACTTTAAAACCACTTTTTAATCTATTTTAAATATGTTTGTTTTGACCTTTTTGCACGTAATTGTAACATACAGGGTTTATGTTTTTTTATTTAAGAATATATAAATATATTGATTATAAGATGATATCTTAATTATGAAATATAGTGATCAGAAACATTGTTATTTAAAAATTTTATAATACAAAATTTACATCAAAAACATTTTTTCGTATTCTATAAGGGTTTTCAAAACTTTTGGGCCAGGTTATAATATATTTTAATTTTGTTGTGTCATTTTTGTAGTTAATTGGAACATACATGATTTATGTGCTTGTATTTAACAATATATAAACATTTTTTTTCATATTATAACACAGTTTGCAACAATATGATATCTTCGTTTTATAAGGGTTTGAAATACTTCTTTTTCTCCCCTCAAAATCTACGCTGCTGTCGTAATTATCATTTCAGTAGCAGTTCTCTTGCGACCAAGTACTGATTGGTCACCATCTGTTCTTCGCCTGGCAGAGTGTTGATTAGCCCGTTCATTCCCGTCTATGTATATTAACACATAATAAGTGCCGTTTAGATTTTATGTCATTATTAGGATTTTATTTTTCGCAGATAACTACAACAATAAGTCATATAAGATTGACGTTTCAATTTTTATTGTATGTATTACCTAGGATCTAATTTTATTTTGTGATTTATTTATTTCAAATATATTTTTATTTAATTTAAACCTGTGTTTTACTGAGTCTGCTGTTTAAAAGAGTTACTCGACACATAGCATAACAGAAGAAAACTTAATGCCTAAATCACAATATCATTAACACTTTTGTTGACGAGTGTATCTATGGATAGATTATGTGTGGTGATGGTATAAATTTCGAAAATTGAGTGTACTTATGTATATTACAATTTATTCTAGTTGTTTAATACAATCAGATCGATTTCTCAAGATCATTATCCCTATTTATGTACTACAGTATAAGTTCATAAAAGAACAACTTCTATGAAGGTGTAAACGATATTTTGGGTATCAGGAAACCTTCTTTTATTTGCTTTATATCTACGTTTCATATCATCGATAATATCTTTACATTATTAGTATCAAAATATGCTATCCCAGTCTCTATCATTCTAAACTTGGCATTTATCAGAATTCGAAAAAATACAAAACATGCAAAAATACTTGAGACTTCTTCGTCGATTGTGAAAGCCAGAAATAGAAACTATATTACATATATTTATATGTAATTAAGAAAAACAAACAACAGAAATACTTTTTTAATTTACCTCGAATGAGTTTGGGCCTTTATATTCTGACCTTTTTGTATTGTAAACCCAAAAAAATTAATATCTACAAAATATATACATCAACAGTGTTTATTCGATACACGCATTTTATAAAATACATTCACAGTATAACAGGACATTTTTGTCATCAACCCAGGTTCCCAGATATTTGTATGTCTCTACTTTTTCTATTTGGGTTTGCTCTATCATTAATCTTTCATTTCCATGTTGCGTTTTTTAGAGAATCATAAATTTAGTTTTTCTCTTATTTATTTTTAGTCCGTATTATGCAATAATCGTTAATTCTATTTACCAATTCTTGTAGCGATTCCAGGGTGTCTGCCATTATAACGGTGTCATCAGCGAATCTTATGTTATTTACTATTCTTCAGTTTACAGAGATTCCATCACCCAGTTTCGCTATCGCTTCCTGGAATATGGCTTCACTGTACACGTTAAACAGTAATGGTGACAGGACACAGCTCTGCCTTACTCCTCTCTTTATATCTATATTTTCGGACTTTTGTTCTTCTATCTTTATATTAGCCTTTTGATTCCAATACAGATTGATAATGATTCGTAAGTCTCGTCTGTCTATATCTTTATTTCTCAGTACTTCTATTAGTTTTTCATGTCGGACCCTGTCGAATGCCTTCGATTATTACATACAGTCCACTAAAATAAATTTTGTAATTCCTTTTATAGGGGAGAGCTACAAATGATGAATACTTAGCTTTTCTCCCTAAAAGATGTTTGTGGAAGATAAATGCATCTTCATATATTTCAGCATTCTCTACGGAGTTTCAACATGTACCTACTGTGTTTTTCCAACAAGTACCCGTTTTTCTTTCTTTCAGTCTGTCTTTGATTCTCAATCTACATTAAAAGTTTTCAATAAAGACAAAACACTAGCAGAGAAGAGCAGAGTATGGAACATCCCCCCCCACTCTTACGTCACAAGATGGTGGCTCTGACGTCAGCTGTCTTGTTAACTTTAAATTAGTCTTTTATTTCCATCTGTCAACTCTTCTTTTTTCCGTCTGTAAATTTTTTTCTTCTTTTAGTAAAATCATCTATTCCGTTTGTCAATTCATCTTATTTTTCGTGAGTCAAATCGATTATCGAGGGGGCGCAAAAGCGAACCTAACCTTAAAGATGTAAACTGACCTTAGACAACTATCCATAACGAAATAAGATGGCACGACGGTCCCTGTAAGATGTCATGGACAATTCGCATTGGTACAGTAATCAAAAATAATGTTTAAATTGATGGTTCCCGGTAATATATGGACCGTTATGCCATCTTGCTTCGTCATATATGACGTGTAAATAAGGTCACATGATTAAGAGTAGGTTTGCTTTTAAACCACCTTGGTAGTCGATTTATATGACAGACGGAAAAGAACAGACAGACAAAATGACACACGATAAAGTAGAAAATGCTTTTAGAGAAAAAGAAGACGTATTTACAGTTGGCATGATAGTTAACATCATAGCCGCCATCTTATGACGTAAAAGTGAAAGTGGAGGGGTATGTTTCAACCAGCGCATACTTGCTTTTTAGAAATATATTTTTATAGTTTTAAATACTTTATTTAACTAAAAAAAGTAAATAGAGAAAGAGGTTTGGCTTTAAATCCAACGTTGGCAATGATTTTTAGCGATTTTGTTGAGTTAAATAACAAAGAATTTGTTTTTATTTTATATTCTCACTATGTAATCGATTCTACTCGTAATGCTGTTGACGAGTTTACAATGATGTTTAATTAAATGAACGTATTGTGCCATTCAAACAAATCAAAAACGCATACCTAGTTTATCAAAGTTTATTGATTAGTACAAAACACAAAATCGGAAAAGTGTTCGTTGCTAGTTATTTGATGAAAATCACGAGGGATATTCAGGATATCACACATTTTTTAATAGTCAAACATAGTTTAATTTCTCTATGAAGGAATCGTTATGTACCTTGATTGGCGATAGGTACTTAACATTGTACATCTGTGTCTTAAAAAAAAACAACTGAAATGAATCAGTGTCTCTGAACATGTCATGCAAAAATGTGTTTGCATAGTTTTAGATTTTGTCGAATTCCGATAAAACCAAAAGCTTTACCATCCCCTAACCAAATATCTAAACCTGCACAGCTTTCCGTTTCAAACTGGAAGGTCTACTGTCTGAAGTAGCAACACTGGTGACGGCTGATTGCTATGACGTCAGTTCCTTCAATTTGGCCGCTTCCTGTGAAATGTTTGCAGGACCGTTTCCGATGTTGTAGTTGTTGTTGATTTTGGGGGCTGCATCCGGCGCGGGCACGAACCTTTTTTCTGTGTTTGGAGATGTTTGAGTACTGGTGTCTTTAGTTTTTGCTTGCTTGTAGAATATGTCTGAAACATTTTCATGGTAAAATATACAATTTTAAAGTTAAACAGATTAATACTATTCAAAATTTAGATAAAATGTACAAAGTACCTAAGGAAGATATAAATGACACCCAGTATAGATTCAGAACAGGATTGGGTACGAGAAAAGCACGTTTCGCTTTTAATGTGCCCATACAAAAGATATTTAGATGTAAATTAAGATATCTCTGTTACCTACATTAATTTTCAGACGGTGTTTGATTGAGTTTGACATCAGAAACTAGAGAACTGAGACCAAAAATTAAACAGTTTAAATATATTATATATTTTAATGTTAAGATTAAAGACGTGGAAATTATTGCAGTTTCGCAACTGTATATAAACATAAAATATATACTTTTTGTTAGTTTTGATTTTCCCGTATATTTAGCCAAGATTATGTACAGCAAAATACATACATTACAGAAGTATAAACGGTTGTAATACATTGTTGCCGACAAAAGACTGTCCTTTGATACATTGTATGTAAACAAAGAACGATAGAAAAATGAATGGCTTTCGTTAAAAGTGCAGATTACTGGGTACTTATCGCCCACACGTTAAGTCAGCTTGTACAAAACAACTCTTGGCTTACAGCCGTATTACTCAGTCACCATCAGTCGGATACAGACCGTCGTTCCAGCCAGTAGGGGTAACGGCTGCTCAGTAAATAGAGACATGTTTCATCAGTAAGTAACAGACAGTCGTTCCATCCAATAGAAGTGAAAGTTGCTCCAACATCAATATTACTTTTGTTCCTTACCTGACAAAAGACAGGGGTCTTCGCTACATGGTAGCATTTCAATACTTTACTCCACGTGGTCAAGTACATATCTCAATATTTGTTGTTTCATAACAAGTACGGGTATACTTGTATAATTGATAGTTATATTAATTGATGGATTCGACCGTTACTTGATGGAAATTCATTTTATGTAACAATAAAACACTGAAAACTTTCTTTTCAAATATCCACAAAATTTATTTTAAATATTATCACTACAGCTATTTCGGCTGGTTGCTTTTCTCAAGTGATCTATTTTTGGCATGCGTTTACAATTTATAGACTCTAATGAAATAGGTTGAGAAGGGGAGAACTGTTTGTCTCAAGTTGGTCATTCAGAATTATATCTGTGTTTTTTAATATACTGATTTCCATAGATTCTAACAAAGATAGCTTAAGGCCTTTATTTTGAATGAGAAGAATTTTAAATTTGTCATTAAAATAATGATTATGATCTAGAAGGTGAAGTGCGTATGTCGTATCTGTTTTTCTATTATTGAAAGCCCTTTTATGTTCTGCTATTCGTTTATTAAAGTTTCTACCAGTTTGACCGATGTAAGTTTTTGAGCACTCGCCACATTGAAGTTTGTACACACCACTATTTAAGTGTTTTTATTTTGGCTCTTGTTATTTTTAATATATTTGCCTAGGTTGTTATTTGTTCGGAAAGCTGGTGTTATTCCTTTCTTTTTTATGTGTTTGGCTATTTTTGTGAATTATATTTAATTCTGATAGTTATATTTGCTACAAATTTATGTTTTTCTGTTGTAAACTATATTAAATCTTGTCTCACAAATTGAGACATTTTAAGATTTATTTGCAACATTTATCTTGAACTTTTAATGAAACATTTTACGTTTTTTAAGCACGTATTTACTATTGCATAATAGTTGTAGTTTTGTTTGACATTTGTATTTATATATAGTTTATAATATATTATTTGTCTTATATACAAAATCATCGAATCGCGTTACATTGACATTTATGTCGCAATCAGCTGCTATTTCCTGTCATATCATATTGTAGCATGCCCATAATATCTTTTGTAGGCCGGCGCTTTGGATTGTGTGATATATATATATATATATATATATATATATATATATATATACATATATACATATATATATATATATATATATATATATATATATATATATATATATATATATATCCAAAATTCGTCCTGTAATATTTAGTTTTTAAAATAGCTGTGTTTTTGCGCTAATTCGTTTATCTTTTGTAAGTTCATTTTAACTATAAATAAAATATTGGCTTTCGTATCACGTAATACTTAAAGTAGATATTTGTGTTTCATTCTATTTGAGAGAAACCAACGAGTTCGAGATTGAATATATATTTATATTCATCTCCCTTTCTGATGGCTTTGTATGTTATATAAAAGTCATCGTATGTTGAGAACCAACAGAAATAGCAAATATAAAGATTAAAAGAGAAGTTGGAAGAAAGAAAGGATGCGTGTTCTCCCTATTGTTACTTAACCTTTATAGGAAGCTATCTTTAGGTATTGTCAGGAGAAAAATATGATAAACTCGGTTTCATCGTTCTTGGCGTGTGCCTGAAATAAGCTACTACGGAAGTTTTAATATTCGTCTCTCTCTGATACACAGATGCGTAATTCAATTGTGCGACTCACGTTTGTCATGGTAAAGTGCGATGAGAACGGAATGAAGAGACCACTCACGCCTCCCAGTATTGTAGCAATAACACCGATGCGTTTGGCCGATACGGTGTCGGTGATAAGTTCGGCCTCTTTACGAATACATATAGCTGCCACTGGAGGAGGTAAACGAATCAAGCTTAGACAAGGAAAGACAGATGAAACAACTTATTGCAAGTGTTTTTACACGCACACCAAAGAAAGATGAAAACATCTATATAGCAATAAATGGAAACATTGAGCAATACAAGATTCGCAGATAGCATAATAAATACAATTGAAGGTAATAGTGTGATTTAAAGCTTGCAATTTTAAGACAATAGTTTTCAAAGTATCCAGAAAAATTGTATGTCTGGACTTAAAGTTTTTTTTTACGGAAGACATTTCAATTTATTTATTTTAATTGGACCATCCTGTATAAGTACTCTTTTTATCAATTCAACTGGTTTAAATCTAATTAAATAATGAATACTTACCATCAACTACAGGTTCAATCGGCGAGACGTGTTTTTGCACGTTCTGTTTCTGATCGCAAGTTGCTGCTGTTACCATCACCGCGGCCATCATACTTCCCGATCCAGTATTGGTTGAGCTCTTATTGATAGCGCTGTACCTCATCGGCATCATGCTCTGTCTAATATTTCTTTCTGGTCGGATCAGGATTATATACAACTAAAAAAGAGAAGCAGTTTTTAATTCAGGAGTTATACCAATAACATAAGCAATAATAAGCAGTTTATATATCAAATAAGGGTAAGATTTTACATATCTTACCTTTATTTAGCATTTATGAAACTTTCTTGCCATTTTTACATTGTTTTTATTTTTTTTTTCGTTAAATTTTGACAAGCGCCAGCTTTATTTACGCTCAAATTTCTTCCTTGTAGTTTTTTTAAGTACTTAAGTCTCTATAATCTTTAAATATGTGTTCAGTTCTTTAATTAGTGATACATGATAACAGGAGAATACTAAGTGTTGTTGACTACACAAAAATATTTACCTTGGGAGAGAACAGACAAGCCACAGTAACGCTAGCGGAGAGACTGATGGTGACTGCCATGCTTGTGATCCTTAAAGCTACGTGATTAGCAGTTCCGAAGTAAAGTGGGACAAACGCCAACCATATAACACACGTAGTATACATTGTGAAACCTAAAAATAACAATTTATCACTTAATATCTGACCTGACAGGAGTACATAACCTGTAATGTCAAATAAATTAAATATGAATAAAATACAGTATTGCCCAAAATAAACAGTATTTGAAACTGAAACATAGATATCACTTTGTGCGCGCTGTCATATTCAAATTAACTATTATAGATTATAGACCTGTCAAGTAGTCACTAAACAATTAACGCACATTAAGAAAAACGCTTTCGAATACTTCCCGTTGTTTTAAGAAATTAAAGTAGGAAGGTCACTACATTTGCCTTTCTAGATGAAGGCTCCTCCGTTACTTTGTTAGTAGAAAGTATTGCTAAAAAGCTAAATATAATGAGAAACCCAGAACAACTTGGCTTAAAATGGAAACCAACAACGTTTAGAAGATGCATCAGAAAAAGTATTCTTTTCTATTACTGGTGATTATAATGTTGTCAAAGAATCTGTCACCGACTAGTCAGAACGGTAAGAAAATTAGACCTTGCAAAACAAACTTTCAATGCAAAGGCAATTAAAGAAAGCTTTGCCTATCTAACAAACTTGTATTTTAAATCATATAAGAACGCTGTTCCTCAGATCTTGATAGGCTTAAATAAGTGGGACTTAGCGTTACCACTTCGAATGAAGGAAAGTCTGGAACTTCAACCAATAGCTGCAAAGTCTAGGTTAGGTTCGACTATTTCTACAATTTTTTAAATAACGGCGTGGAATTAAACTACACTTACCACACTTGCGAATGTAGTTCTAAAATCATTATTTTTTTTTCAAAACCGTTTTTTGGATCGACTTAACTAAGATTTACTATTTCTCTAAATATTTTATTGTTTGACTAACAACACAAAAGTTGCTTTTGGTAAATGCAAGTTTAACTTGTTAAACTGTTTGTTCGGGCTGTAGGGCCTTTGTCTTCTAAGATCTGAAACTGTCAGTTTCAGCTTACAAGCGAAGCAGTAGCATCTCCAGAAGATGTCAACCCCTAGTGTTGGCGAAACGTCTAGATCTAATCTCAGAAGATAACGGCCAAACAGCCTGAACAAACACTTTAACAAGTTAGACGATGGCGGTGAAAGCCTAATGTATTTTAAATGCAAGTTTGTTTTGTAATTCTGGTTCATCAAAAACATCCTGACAATCTTCTAGCTATTTTCTAGCAGGATAATGATTTTCAATACGAAGCTTTTAATATTTTTAATATATTCTGTGTAGTATAAACTGCATCTACTCGTAACCATGTAACCTACCTACTGTGTTCAAGTTTTAATGGAGTGGAGGCAATCTTTCTCTAAATAGTTGTACTCTTAAAGGAGCTTTACTGAAATTTTTTTATCAATTTTAATATTTACCATAAGATTTACACTTACATTTCATCTAATTTATATAACGATGCACGTCATCGGCGTCATAGCCTGTGGCGTCACATGATACCAACACAAAATATTTAGGGTGTAGGTGTGTTCTTTTTTTGAATCACTTTACCGAGTACACTGACATTACAGCCACTAGAGATATTTTATTATATACGCGTAGAAATCATATTTAAAAATTTCTATTAATGTTAACTTGAAGAAATACACAATAATATGTTTCATTTAATTTGTATAAATGCATTATAAAGCGTTTTTATCAAGAACATTTGTTCGGAACAAACTGTAACTGTAATCGAACGAAGGTAAAATTTTGGCATAAATTGGTAACACTTATTTGACAGTTGCGGTGTTGACACTTTTTGTACTTTCTTATTTTGAATTTTAAAGTGAATATCTCTTGTTTTATATTTTTAACTATCTAATAAAATCTGTTCTTTTCAGAACAAAATTAGTGTGTTTTATTTAAAAAATGTCACGTAAGAATTTAAATAGTCGTTGTAAAGAGATGGTAATACTTTTGCAATAATTATGTAATCTATTTGATTTAAAATGGAGTCAGGATTTTTTTATACTTTGGCAACTATGTCAACTTCGATCTCTGACGTAGATAATGATGTAAGTCGTTATCTAAATTAGATGAAGTATAGAAGTCCTGACTCTAAAGATAACGATAATATTACTTAAGAACATTGTTTGAGGAAGTATGAACGAATTCTTTTAATATTTTTACATTTAATATTTTTTCTATTACGATACTGTAATGTGACCAAATTTAGTGCTGTATTCTAAAGACCTTTTTAAAATATATTATTTCGTTTTATTCCGTAAAACTTAAACTGGCTATCTCATTTATCATGTTGGAGTGCGCAGAATTTGGCTTTTTCCTTTGTATTCTGTGTCACAAAAATTGAAACAAGTGTAAGGTTTCGTATTACTGTAGCAATTAACTTTGAGAAGACTCTTCGTAAGACAGCGATCGACACGGACCTAGTTTGGACGGTTCTCGTGCTTAGCCTCGGCGACGCTAGCGTCGGTACCGCGACCAACTCTTCATTCCTGTTAAGAGTACATCAATAAAACTAAAGAGTAAGTCTATGTTCTTTGTACAAACAACGATAATGAGTAACACCAGTTAATTTCATAATTTATTCTTGCTATTTTTCGCTTCTTTTATGTACAAACAAATATTGCATTTTTCTTTATAATTATTTATCCAATATCATTTAACCAGCGACCTCTTTAGTTTTATCCTAAAGAAATATTGTTAATTGGAATCTTCCTAACTTAGTTTAACTCAGTTAAATATCAAGTTATTTTGAAATGACACAAATTTTACAATAATCTTCAACGTAAGCTATAAGTATAAGTAATCAATTAAACAGAAAGTTTGATAAGAAATACCAACTTCTAAACTTCTAACTAACCCAAAGTTAGTTCTTGTTACTACTTCAAATACATATAAGCAAAAAGTTTATTGCTTTAACACACGATGCTCATAACGATATTGTATAATCAAAGTTCCTAAAAGTTTCTTTACTGGATAAGTACAATATGAAGTTTCTATTTGCGCAATATGTTGTGTTATTATTTCTGCATCGAAATGTTAACTAGACAGTCGCATTACCAAACTAGAAATGAAATGTTATAAACTTTTATATGTTACTGCTGTAATTTTATAAATATTTTCGTCCAAGTATTCCAGAAAATTGTTTAAATTTGGAACAATGACAAAAATTACAAAGTACCGGAGTGCTCGAAATAAAGTGTTTTAAAGACAGTGGGGGATACAAACTTCTAAACTTTGTTGGTTTCCAGTACATTTTAAGCCAAGTTGTTCTGGGTTTCTCATTATATTTAGCTTTTTAGCAATAATTTCTACTAACAAAGTAACGGTGTACCCTTTATTTAGAAAGGCAAATGTAGTGACCTTTCTACATCCATTTCTTAAAACAACGGGAAGTATTCGAAAGCGTGATTCTTAATGTGCCTTACTTTCTTCATTTGCAGATAACAGGTGTGATTCTACTGTTTGCATACTTAATACTTAATATTTCTGTTGTATTTGTTTAAGCAATCTATCCGTTAGTTTAAGTTGTTTTAATATCGATACGTAAGTGCGATGATCAATCCAGGATATTCTTAACATGTGGCGGTACACCCACATTTCAAAAGCGTAAAGTTTATTTTTATCCACTTTCTTTAAGGTCCACGTTTCGGATGCATATGTGGCTATGTGGTGTAGGGTTGTGTTATAGAGGTAGTACCTTTCATCGGAACGACCACATCGAGCGTCATAGACGGGAGATGGTTCTTGATAACTGGTCCTCATAAGAGGATCCAGAGGATCATAAGAGGAACCAAAACGAGCACTGAACGCCAGAATGCAGGGAAAGAGACCAGTTGGAAAGCCAAGAAAGCGCTGGGAAGACACAGTAAGCAGCGACGCACAAGCACTTTTAGGAGTCCGTGTATGGAGAAGAGCAGCCACAGACAGACAAGGGTGGAGGCAAAAAATAAAGGAGGCCAAGGCTCATTTTGGGCTGTAGTGCCGTAGAGGAAGGAAGGTCCTCATAAGACACCCAACTCTCACTTATGGCTCCACGTGCCACACTCCGGGCAACTGCATTGGTCTGCAGGCTAAAGTAAGTGAGGGTAGCCAGATATGGTGAAAATAGCAACGTCTGTACCCAGAATGGGCGGTTGCAAAAGGCGTCTGTTTCATGGTGGGCGGCTGAAAATTAAGCCCTGAAGCGGCATGAAGGAAGGCAACGGGATACCACCTTCAATATATTTCCCAAGACAATCACATGAATACATTCAACTCAAAATTATCCGGAGGTATAAAAAGTTCCCCAATCAGATCTCCGGGGGGAGCGGTCTTGAATGTTTCAAACGTACGAGCAAACTTAAGAAAAACATTAAAGATATGCACCTGGAATACACGCAGCTTATTTGAAGCCAGGAAGCTGGCTAACCTAATTCAAAAAAAAAAACAGATTTGATCTAGATATCCTTGGGATCTCAGAAACCTGGTGGCCTGGATCCGGTAAATGCACTACAAAAAGCGGAACATTCTTTTACTCAGGCAATGATGACCGCGATCATAGAAAAGGCGTCGGAATTATAATAACTAAAAGATTGGTGAGAGATGTCACAGAGTTTGTACCATATTCCGACCGCACAGCCTTAGTAAAACTTGAAGCGAAGTCATTACCCACTACATCTTTTTTCGTCATTACCCAAGTTTCACATCCATAGGGTACTACGGGTCTAATCAGTGTTCTGTAGATAGTCATTTTGGTTCTTTTGTCTAATAATTTCGATGTCATCAATCTTTTATTAGCATAGTATGTACGATTCCCGCTGGAAATACGTGCATTAATTTCGCTACTTACGGAGTTCTTCTGATTGATTTCTGTGCCGAGATATGTAAAGGCATCCACTCGTTCGATAGTATAGTTGTCTATTGTGATATTATTTTCATTGTCAGTTATTCTTTTGACTGTCATATACTTCGTTTTTGCTTCGTTTATTTTGAGACCTCTTTTTCTTGCTTCAGGATCAATTTGTTTGAACACTTCCATTAGTCGTGGCTTATTCCTACTAATGATGGCTACATCGTCTGCATATGCAGTAATTTGTACTGATTTGGTGTTTATATGGCCGGTTATATTGGTTTTTCTGATGACTGCCTCAAGAACTAGGTTGAATAGCATGGTTGATAGGGCATCTCCCTGTCTTACTCCCATGTTGATGTTAAACAGGGGAGTCAGTTCTCCATCTACTCTGACTGCGGCTTTTGAACCCTGCAACGTCATTTTTATGAGGCTGATGTATTTCTTAGGTATACCTAGATTACAAAGGTCTTCCAGCATTCTGTCTCTTTTCACACTATCAAAAGCTTGTTTAAAGTCTATATACATATTATATAGGTCTATGTCGTATTCATAAGCTTTTTCTTGTATCGTTCTTAGTATGAATATGTTATCTGTAGTGGCTCTATTTGGTCTGAATCCATTTTGATAATCACCAATTATATTTTCGGAGTATTCTAATAATCTATTGTAGATTATACCAGAAAGAATTTTGTATATTACATTTAGCAATGTAATTGGCCTATAATTCTGGCATTCACTCTTATCTCCTTTTTTATATATTGGCTGTATGAGGCCAACTGTCCATTCCTCTGGCATTTGCTCCTTCGTCCATATTAATGTTATTAGGTAATGGATTCTTTCCCAGAGTTCGGATCCTCCATGCTTTAATAATTCTGCCGAAATTCCGTCCGTTCCTGGTGCTTTATTGTTTTTTAGTTTATTTATTATCTGAACTACTTCTTCATAACTCGGATTTTCGATGTGCAGCTCCGCCGTATAATATATTGTCTCGTTCTGATCATTTTCGTTGTCTGCATTTAGATTTTCTTCGAAATATTGTTTCCATCTCATTATAATTTTTTGCTTCTCTGTTAGTAGTTCTCCATCCTTGTCTTTGCATATCGTTAGTTTTGGTCTAAATGACTGTGTGCTTTCTTTTATGCATTTATAGAATTTTCTGCTTTCGCGTCTGTTGTTATGCTTTACGATTTCTTGTACTTGTTTTTTCATAGCCTCTCTTTTCTTTCTTCTGCATATTCTAGTCGCTTGTATTCTTTTTTCGTTATAAATCTCACTGCTATTTCTAGTGTTTCTTTGAAGTTGGTTAAGCCTAGCTTGCCTTTTTTCCTCTACTGCAGTTCTGTATTCATCATCATACCATTCCGCATTTCTTTGCCTTTTGGCTTTTCCGACAGTTTCCTATGCTGACTCCGTTATAATTGTTTTTAATTGTCTCCATTCCTCCTCTGCAGTATCTGCCTCTCTAGTTCGATTGAGTTTTATTTGGAGAGCATTTCTGTAATCTTGTCTCTTTGTCGCGCTTTTGAATCCTTCGACATTCCATTTTTTGATTTGAATATTTTTCCCTTTTGCTACTGTCGCTATTTTCTGCCGTAATTTTGCCCCTACAAGATAGTGATCTGAGTCAGAGTTCGCCCCGCGATACGTTCTGACATTAGTTATGTCTGTTGCCCATCTTTTTGAGATGAGTATATGGTCAATTTGATTGGCTTACGAAACTTGATTGAACTACGTAATTATTTGCTGCTGCGAACTGTGCCACCCTGAGTCCATTTTGACTGGTTTCAGTGTGCAAACTGTGTTTCCCAAATATATTTGCAAACGTTTCTTCTTTCCCCAGTTTAGCATTAAAATCGCCTAACGTTATAACACCATCGTTTCTTTGGATTTTATCACATACATCCTGTAGTTCTCCGTAGAATCTTTCAACGTCTTCTTCATCAGCCTCTTCCGTCGGTGCATATACATTAACCATTGTCACGTTATGAAATTTACCTTTAAATCTTATGGTGCAAATTCTATCTGATATTGGTGTAAATGCGATAATGGTTTCCAGCAGTTTTTGGTTACCATAAACCCTACTCCTCTTTCACCTTGTCTCATTTTATTTCCGGAGTAGTATAGTGAGAATTTATTCTTATGAATTTCTCTCTGGCTCTTCCATCTGATTTCCTGCAGTGCCAATATTTCAACTCCGTATTTTTCAAGTTCTTCTGTCATACTTATCATAGCTCCTGCCTTTAAGAAGGTTCGCACGTTCCAGGTTCCAAATTTTAAATCCATAATCATGTCCATTTTTCTGTGCTGAGTTTGTCGTTGTGAGTGTTTCATTAGCCATTGTATTCGCAACAATTGAGTTCTACAAGGAAGGGTTGTTAACCCTTCGCTCAACCCCTTTTCATCGGAGGACCAAGGCTCCCTTCTTCGTTGCCCTGACCCCACCCTAAACAACATTGCTGATATTAATACCCTAAACAATAAATATACAGGGTCATCAACAGAATCAACAAAAACCTCATTAAATTTTCCATTTAAGCCAAAGTTTCACAATTATCGCTGCACTCTGTATAATTATCATGTATACCATTGGACATCATTTTTCAGTCTTTTTTAATGATGTATCACAAGTAGAAGTTTGCAATTTAAACTTTTTGGGTTGTGGTGGATGGTGCCTAGGGAGTTGATGGTGGTGAGTTTTCTTTTATGTCATTTTAGTTCTTCCTTAATATCATAGAAACAGTTTCAAGCATTTTTCGATATCAGCTTTTGTTCGTGAGATTTATCCCATTGTAAGTTTTAAAATTGACACACTATACACACACTGTATGGTAATTACAGCGACTGTATAGATAAATTCTCATTTCCCTGGCGTATGAGTTTAATTTAAACTATCTCACAAAAGATCCTCTATTATGAAATAATAGAGATTGATTGATATGAAAGATAGATGGATATTTTCTCACCTATATGCTTGGATTCATTGAACGCTTCAGGGATTTTCCTCGTCAAAACCGCATACACCGTGCAGACGACTATCAGAAAAATGGGATAGGTGAACGCTATCATGTATGAAGCGTCGATATAGGAAGAACACACCAATAAATTGTCCTCTCTGGTAGGGTAATGATGAATCGCTCTCGGTGGGGATATTAACATCCATATACCATTTATCAGCACCTGCAAAAAAGAAATATTATCTTTTCATTTCTATATAGGATCAATCATAAAAGATTGCTTATTATATAAGAAAATGGAAAAGAAAGCTGATAGAGCTTTGTGGTCACTTCTATTATTACCCGGACAATGGTTAAAAAAAGATATAAATCTTCGATAACGAGCTAGCTTAATAGAGGAAATGTAAGAGTGTAGAGGGATTATAATTTGACAGAAAACAAATTGTTATAAAGAGTAAGTGATAATATGAGGCATGTAAGTGAAAAATATCTGTCGAGATCAAGTTTACGTCAGAGCAGTTACGGGGGCTGGTACAAAAGTAACACATATACTTAAATCTCAGGCATTGTAGCATTTTTTTCTACTTTGTATATTATAAAAATTTCAAAGATTTGTATCAAACAATTTAAGAATTGCGTCTTAAAATTTTCTAAAAGAATAAACATAACCTAAACGTTTATTT